GTCTTTACTTCATAATAGACGACCATTTTCATATAAAAAGAGTCGTCTTTACATATAATAGACGACCCTTTTTATATAAAAGGGTTGTCTTTACTTCATAATAGACGACCATTTTCATATAAAAAGGGTCGTCTTTACTTCATAATAGACGACCCTTTTTTTTTTCCGATTTTTGGCGTATATGATCTCGATGTGTAAACAAACAAGTTTGATGGTTGGATCGTTGAAATTAGTTTCGTAGAATGCGTATGCCATCAAAACAATATATTTACTAACAATTAAGAGTTTATTTATACTTTTATTAAATATAACATAAGTTTTTGTGGTATCCACTAGTGTAAATATTTTAAATTGACGATCGAATTGGTTCATTGTATTCATATAGGGTCAAGGAGTGTAGCTGTAAAAAATCATCAAAATCGGAGTTAAAATAACCATTAAATCTTGATTTTTCGTTTGTAACCGTCAAAATGTTTTGTCCCGTTACTTGATCTCTGATTTATTTTTTTTTCCGATTTTTGGCGTATATGATCTCAATGCGTAAACAAACAAGTTTGACGGTTTGATCGTTGAAATTAGTTTCGTAGAATGCGTATGCCATCAAAACAATATATTCACTAACAATCAAGAGTTTATTTATACTTTTATTAAATATAACATAAGATTTTGTGGTATCCACTAGTGTAAATATTTTAAATTGACGATCGAATGTAGTCATTGTATTCATATAGGGTCAAGGAGTGTAGCTATAAAATATCATCAAAATCAGAGTTGAAATAGAATGCGTATGCCATCAAAACAATATATTCACTAACAATCAAGAGTTTATTTATACTTTTATTAAATACAACATAAGATTTTGTGGTATCCACTAGTGTAAATATTTTAAATTGACGATCGAATGCAGTCATTGTATTCACATAGGGTCAAGGAGTGTAGCAGTAAAAAATCATCAAAATCAGAGTTGAAATAACCGTTTAATCTTGATTTTTCGTTTATAACCGTCAAAATGTTTTGTCCCGTTACATGATCTCTGATTTATTTATTTTTCCGATTTTTGGCGTATATGATCTCGATGCGTAAACAAACAAGTTTGACGGTTGGATCGTTGAAACTAGTTTCGTAGAATGCGTATGCCATCAAAACAATATATTCACTAACAATTAAGAGTTTATTTATACTTTCATTAAATATAACATAAGATTTTGTGGTATCCACTAGTGTAAATATTTTAAATTGACGATCGAATGCAGTCATTGTATTCATATAGGGTCAAGGAGTGTAGCTGTAAAAAATCATCAAAATCAGAGTTGAAATAACCGTTAAATCTTGTTTTTAAAAAACCGTCATCTTTACTTCACAATAGACGACCCTTTTTAAAAACAAACCGTCATCTTTTCATATAATAGACGACCCTTTTTAAAAAAAACTGTCATCTTTACTTCATAATAGATGACCCTATATTTTAAATTGACGATCGAATTGGTTCATTGTATTCATATAGGGTCAAGGAGTGTAGCTGTAAAAAATCATCAAAATCAGAGTTGAAATAACCGTTAAATCTTGTTTTTAAAAAACCGTCATCTTTACTTCACAATAGACGACCCTTTTTAAAAACAAACCGTTATCTTTTCATATAATAGACGACCCTTTTTAAAAATAACCGTCATCTTTACTTCATAATAGATGACCCTTTTAAAAAAAAAAAACCGTCATCTTTACTTCATAATAGACGACCCTTTTTAAAAAAACCCGTCATCTTTACTTCATAATAGACGACCCTTTTTAAAAAAAAACCGTCATCTTTACTTCATAATAGACGACCATTTTTATAAATAAACCGTCATCTTTAAATATAATAGACGACCCTTTTTATAAAAAAAACCGTCGTCTTTACTTAATAATAGACGACCCTTTTTATAAAAAACCGTCGTCTTTACATATAATAGACGACCATTTTCATAAAAAAAAACCGTCATTTTTAAATATAATAGACGACCCTTTTTATATGTTGAAGTAAAGACGACCCTTTTTATAAAAAAAAAACCGTTGTCTTTATTTAATAATAGACGACCCTTTTTATAAAAAAACCGTCGTCTTTACATATAATAGACGACTATTTTCATATAAAAAGTGTCGTCTTTACTTCATAATAGACGACCCTTTTCATATAAAAAAGGTCGTCTTTACTTAATAATAGACGACCCGTTTTATAAAAAAACCGTCGTCTTTACTTATAATAGACGACAGTTCTTTCAAAACAACCATGTCTTTACCAAAAAAAAGACACTTGAGTTTTAAAAGACGACGCTTGTTTTTTGGTCAGATTTTAACTCTGAAGAAAAGCTTTTTAATAAGACGACGCTTTTTTATTTGTGTGCGTCGTTATAAAAAAATTCTCAACAATATCTCCCTTTTTTAGTTGTTTAAGTCACTTATCCACAACGGTTTTTTATTACCGTCGTCTTTTTAAAAACAATGACGGTTTTTTGTTCTACCGTCGTCTTTTTCTGGTCGTCTTTTGCCCTTTTTGTAGTAGTGTAGCTCTCCAGTTAACCCTTGATAATCAAAACAAAAAAAACAAAAAAATCTTCAAATCAATAATAAATCAACGTAAACTGCAATGCAGTTTCTGATCAAATTCCAAAAACTACAACTAAATCACAATATCAACTCAAAACAAAACCTAATACTACGAAAAACACCAAAAATACCACGTAAAACACCAAAAATACTATGAGAATTAAAAATAAACAAAAACATTCGAAGAACACATACCTGAATAGCAACCAGCACCTCACTAGAGAACCAAAACAAGAGAACAACGCCTAACACTGAAAAATCAAACACAAATAAGAATTTAAGATCTGATCACAGAAAGAGCAACGAAACATAAAAGAAATGGAACACCCCGAACCAAATACACAAACAAAATCAACGAACAAAAATCGCTCAAATATAAAAACAAATTGAACAAAAATCAAAACCTAAAGTTCATACCTCAAATCACACCAAAATGAAGGAAGGATAGTAATCACGAAACGCATGAAGGATCTAGCTCGCCATAACAAAAATCAAAAAACGAAGAACAAGACTAGAGCGAAATCGTAGGAGTGCTTGAACATAAACAAACACGAGTGACCAATTGAGACGTTGAAAACATAAAAATACGAGCTAAATAGTAAAAAGGGTAAAAACGTCCTTCTAAGTACAAATTAAACAGGCTCTAATGCTTTAATTTAGGCCCATTGATCTTTAGCAAAACAAAATTTAAAAATCATTGACCAAGCCCAAAACAGAACTACTTCATTCACTATATCCTTATTATTTTCCATTTTATTGATTGTTATCAAATTAGTCTTATAAAATAACCATAAGTGTCATGACCACGAGATTTTACAATGTCATAGTAGCCATACCTCTTTCCATCATTTCAAAAGTTTAGGTCAAAGGGAGTTCAAATTCCATGTTGTCTATTAATTATGAAACTGAATCAACTCTGAAAAATCCCCATAATTTGCATACTTGTCCAAATGTGAAGATCTGTATACGTACAGAAAGCTTGGGATGTTTAGTTTCTTAATATCGAATTCAGAAGGAGAGACGAATTGTTACCTTCTCCAACCCTCCTCTCTAAACTCCAGTCGTCAGTTTGCCTCCAGAATTTCCTTTTCCCTTTTCTAAATTCTCTCTCCCATTTTTGGACCTTTTTTCTTTTGTAACCAGCTGAGCTAAACCCTAAAGTTCACTTTTAAATATGTCGTTTAATGGGCCAGCCCTGACCCTAGCGCTAGAACCCTAGTTGGCCTCTTAAAACGTATTGGAGGGGTTAGCCGGCTCACACTAACCTGCTTGGGCTTTCGTAAATTAAAGTATCTCGGACCTAAAACTTAGAATAAGCTTAGGTAAGCCATTACGCTCGACATTATTCACAAACACACCATAATATAACAGAAATTATGAGGAAAAATCTTAATTAAACATGTCGGGGCTTACAAGTACAGTGTGCTAGAAACCATGGGCATTACAGTGTTCAAAACACGGCGAACAAAGTGACATGCGGGAAAATGCACCAGAATCAACTTTGAAAAATCCCCATAATTTGCGTACTTGTCCAAATGTGAAGATCTGTATACGTACAGAAAGCTTGGGATGTTTAGTTTCTTAATATCGAATTCAGAAGGAGAGACGAATTGTTACCTTCTCCAACCCTCCTCTCTAAACTCCAGTCGTCAGTTTGCCTCCAGAATTTCTTTTTCCCTTTTCTCAATTCTCTCTCCCATTTTTGGACCTTTTTTCCTTTGTAACCAGCTGAGCTAAACCCTAAAGTTCACTTTTAAATATGTCGTTTAATGGGCCAGCCCTGACCCTAGCGCTAGAACCCTAGTTGGCCTCTTAAAACGTATTGGAGGGGTTAGCCGGCTCACACTAACCTGCTTGGGCTTTCGTAAATTAAAGTATCTCAGACCTAAAACTTAGAATAAGCTTAGGTAAGCCATTACGCTCAACGTTATTCACAAACACACCATAATATAACAGAAATTATGAGGAAAAATCTTAACTAAACATGTCGGGGCTTACAAGTACAGTGTGCTAGAAACCATGGGCATTACAGTGTTCAAAACACGACGAACAAAGTGACATGCGGGAAAATGCACCAACTATAAACGCAAAGGCTCGGGATTCATACAGAGTGATTTATGTCTTATACGACACACAAATACACATTATAGGTAGGATAATAGTATGGTACAAGCTTGCCCGTGTCTGCATACTTGCAATACTAGTACCCATGGAATGCACATTAATTACTTTTGTGCCATTAATGTAAGTTGATAGATGTCTTCAGTTACAGCCTTTGAATCTTTGAAAATCCCTGGCAGTCCCTTCCCTGTTAATCCAACACAATAAACACCCTTCTCGCCCTTCCAGTGGTTTGGGTTATTGATTGTTATCAAATTAGTCTTATAAAATAACCATAAGTGTCATGACCACGAGATTTTACAATGTCATAGTAGCCATACCTCTTTCCATCATTTCAAAAGTTTAGGTCAAAGGGAGTTCAAATTCCATGTTGTCTATTAATTATGAAACTGAATCAACTCTGAAAAATCCCCATAATTTGCATACTTGTCCAAATGTGAAGATCTGTATACGTACAGAAAGCTTGGGATGTTTAGTTTCTTAATATCGAATTCAGAAGGAGAGACGAATTTTACCTTCTCGAACCCTCCTCTCTAAACTCCAGTCGTCAGTTTGCCTCCAGAATTTCTTTTTCCCTTTTCTCAATTCTCTCTCCCATTTTTGGACCTTTTTTCCTTTGTAACCAGCTGAGCTAAACCCTAAAGTTCACTTTTAAATATGTCGTTTAATGGGCCAGCCCTGACCCTAGCGCTAGAACCCTAGTTGGCCTCTTAAAACGTATTGGAGGGGTTAGCCGGCTCACACTAACCTGCTTGGGCTTTCGTAAATTAAAGTATCTCAGACCTAAAACTTAGAATAAGCTTAGGTAAGCCATTACGCTCAACGTTATTCACAAACACACCATAATATAACAGAAATTATGAGGAAAAATCTTAACTAAACATGTCGGGGCTTACAAGTACAGTGTGCTAGAAACCATGGGCATTACAGTGTTCAAAACACGACGAACAAAGTGACATGCGGGAAAATGCACCAACTATAAACGCAAAGGCTCGGGATTCATACAGAGTGATTTATGTCTTATACGACACACAAATACACATTATAGGTAGGATAATAGTATGGTACAAGCTTGCCCGTGTCTGCATACTTGCAATACTAGTACCCATGGAATGCACATTAATTACTTTTGTGCCATTAATGTAAGTTGATAGATGTCTTCAGTTACAGCCTTTGAATCTTTGAAAATCCCTGGCAGTCCCTTCCCTGTTAATCCAACACAATAAACACCCTTCTCGCCCTTCCAGTGGTTTGGGTACTTCCCTTTAGGCTTTCCATCATCTGTAAGAAGGAACTTGTAGTCCTGCATCCACAATTAAATAATTAATTACTATATATCTGAACAAAGTGACATGCGGGAAAATGCACCAACTATAAACGCAAAGGCTCGGGATTCATACAGAGTGATTTATGTCTTATACGACACACAAATACACATTATAGGTAGGATAATAGTATGGTACAAGCTTGCCCGTGTCTGCATACTTGCAATACTAGTACCCATGGAATGCACATTAATTACTTTTGTGCCATTAATGTAAGTTGATAGATGTCTTCAGTTACAGCCTTTGAATCTTTGAAAATCCCTGGCAGTCCCTTCCCTGTTAATCCAACACAATAAACACCCTTCTCGCCCTTCCAGTGGTTTGGGTACTTCCCTTTAGGCTTTCCATCATCTGTAAGAAGGAACTTGTAGTCCTGCATCCACAATTAAATAATTAATTACTATATATATCATACCAAATTAGTGAACAATTACTCGGTTTAATATTCAATAAGAAATATAAAATTACCTTTAACCATTTATGTGCTACGCTTTTGTAACCAGTTGCCAACACAATAGCATCAAAACACCGTCGTTTACCATTTTTGAATTCCACAGTGTTCTGCTTTATACTCACTATATCTGGAAAAACCTGTATCAAAACAAATATTACGAAGAAATTCTGTTAAGTATATATCCTTTAATTAAAGATATAATACATTTACAATATTTACCTGAATCTTTTTGGAGCGAATTTTCTTGATGGTTCCACGATCAATTACTGGAGTCTTTCCAGTGAGTGCTTTAAAGAGAAATGGCCCTTCAACTGGGCGATGAATGCCATAGCTGGACAAATCACTGTACCTGAACTTGGCAAGCAGTGACACAAACTTGTCCACTATTTTCAGTGGGAGGTAATTCAACAGAAGCATGCCAATGCCAACCATTTCTTTGCTCAGCACATGAATCTGTTCAATTATCAAACCGACATGCGTGCAAATGTTATTTAAAATTAAATCATTTATATGTGCAATACTTTTGAGAATTACATTTATAAGGGCCTTAATTAACTAGTTTTTTTTATTCTATTTTTTCCTTTTGTACAAATGTTATTCAGAACAATAACCAATTATTATTCTTTCTTCCGGCCTCTCTGAATTTTTTCAGTTATTTCACCACAGATTCTCTCCAGATCTTTAATTATTTAAAAGAAAAAAACCACAAAAAGTTAACCTAATAAAGAAATTTAACATCAAAGAGGTGAAACGCTTAAACTTGACAGTTGTCGTGCCAAGTACCTCATGCAAGCATTCAAAACTTGAGAGAGAGAGAGAGAGAGAGCCGTTACCTCAACGCCCACTGCATGCAAGATAGAAAAGAAGAAGACAAACACATGATATGCACCCTATAGCTTAATTAGCCAACTTATTTTCTATATGCATGGAAAGAAGTGAGAAATTAATTGACAAACTGAAAAGGTATGTAGCTAGAAGAGAGGTGATGTATACTCTTACTTGGCTTCTAACAACAATGGACGTACGTGCTCCATTGTCTGCAAGATCTTTGCTGATTTCCATCCCAGAATTGCCACAGCCAATTACCAAAACCTCTTCATCTTTAAAAACGGCCCCGTTTTTGTAGTCACTGGAATGAACAACCTTTCCTTTGAAGGTCTCCATCCCAGGCAAGTCGCTGGGGAGAAAAGGCTGGCTATTTTCTCCAGTTGCAACCACCAAGAAATCCGATGAGATCTCATTCACCGTCCCGGAAGCGGTGCCTTTCACTGTCACCGTCCACTTACCTTCCACTTCATCGTAAACAGCCTCCTCCACGTCATGGCAGTAGCGAGGGTTCACGTTGAACCTGGCCACGTACTCGTCCAGGTAACGAATAAAGTCGTCTTTCGACATGAAAATGGAGGTTCGGAAGGGATGGGGCATCATCGGCAAACTGCAGAAGCTCTTTGCCAAGTGAAGATTCAGACGGTCGTAGGACCTCTTCTTCCACAGGGACCCACAACAGTCTTCCTTCTCAAGCACAAGATTTGAAACTGACAGAGAATTGAGCAAGGCGGAGGTAGCAATGCCAGAAGGACCAGCTCCTACAATCACCACCGACACACTAATATTATTATGATTACTATTACTATTATTGTTGTTATTCTCATCCTCCATGATCGGAATCACCTCCTCCGCGATTTGATTATCTCTTAGTTCTCCTCCTCACTATACTGAGACTCACTCAACTGAATATGAACCAGCTGAGCTGATATATTTATACACACAATATAAATAAATAATTAATTGAGAGCAGTAGACTGGTTTCTGGAGATGAACGTACGTAACGTACCTGATGAGAGCAAGTTAAATTATTAATGCATTAACAAAACCCACCGTTAGTTGTTCTACAACCATCCAATTGTTGATGCCAGGTGTGGTTTTTAACGCTTGCCATGACGAAATCTTCATTGGCGCTTTCACTGTAAAACCAGGGTTTGTTGACAACACAGTCTGGATATTAATTCACAAGGGTTTCACTACACTTACGCCCCCCCATACATGCATCTTGACAGATAATCCATCCTTCCATGGAGAGGTGGAGTTTCTTTCTGGATTTCTTTCCTCATTTCTGTTTTCATTCAAACTATATGAACACTTCCGGAGACATCCAATTATGATGCTTCGCTCGATCGACATCTTAATTTCGATCTTCTCCTCGATCGACATCTTAATTTCAAGTTTCTTATATTAATTTTGTACCAGCTAGCTCTATATGTACTTGCAACCATATTTTGGGGAGGTACGATTTGGAACTAGCTAGCTAGCTCTAAAGCTTTTCCCTTTGTTAAAGTTTTTTCTAATATTTAAACATTACATTTTACATTTAAGTTAATTATTTTTAACCATATTAGATATTAAATATTTGTCCCGAAGTTCTTAAAAGTCATTTTACAAAAGGGTAAATTTATCTTTAAAATTTTGAAGATAAGGTGAGCGGGAAAATAGGACAGGATAGCAGCACTCCTTTTTAATTAGGTCTGAATCATTAGGTAAATCATTCTAGCTACATAAAATCATCTAGATATATAGAAAAATAGGTATATTAAGCATGTGGTAATTAAACAAAAGGTAGGTTAACCATCTTATTAGGTATATTAACCATTCGGTCTAATGAGGAGGGCTTTCCCTTTTTTTTTTTTTTTTTTTCAGTCAAGAAATAAACATTACAAAGAAGATCATCGAGAGATCTTAACACCATATATAAATCACAATAACATATGTAAATCATTGGAAAATTTCCAACCCTAACTGGCTTTGTCCTTTAAGTAAATTATGTTTTGGCTTTGATTATAAAAAATAAAACAATCATTAACTATGGGAATATGTTTTTTTTTTTGGTCAAAAAACTACCAAAAAATTAGATTCTTGATTGATACCAATAAAATTAATAGAAAAGTATTTATTTGTACAAATCCCTAAAGAAATCGTAAGCAAGTCATCAAATAAAATAATTAATTAACTGCTCAATTGACTAATATAGCCGCAAAATTACCTGCAACATACGACAAGACATGATTTTCAATACTTGTTTTAAATTGCAATGAAGGTTCTCGAATGTCTGGTCACGACAACATACATGTTTCTCAATGTTTTGTTTTTTATTTTTCTGCGGGAAAGGTTACCTGGATGTCTGGTCACGACAACAATAGTATTCCGAGGCTTTACACATTTTCAATGTCTGGTCACAACAACATGCTTTTTAATTTTTGACAATTTTTTTTCTCTCATGGAAGGAAACCGGAATGTATGGTCACTACAACATGCATGGTTTTCGATTTCTTTTCTCTCTTTTTAGCCACGAAGGTTACTCATGGAAGGAAACCGGAATGCATGGTCACACCAACGTATACTTAATTCTTGTTTTGTGCATATGTCAAAGAAGGAAATTACAAAAAAAATTACGTCAAGTAAAATGTATTTAGCCACTTAAATTCAAATAGCACACAATGATCTGAATAGACTCCAATATCCACATGCATAAAGGGAGAAGCCCCTTTGGTTATTGATAAGTCCATAAATTTACGCATTTATGTACTCTTTATACTTAGTTTTTGTAGGAGAATTGGATTTCAAAAGGACTTATTACTTTATTTTCTCAATTTTCAGCTTTTCGGAGCAAGTAATTGGTTTTCAACGGAAATACAACTTTTTGGTGGAGTTTTTGTACAAGACCAGTTGGAGATAAAAGCTAAGATCTTGAAGATGATTGTGCAATGTTTCTAGAATTTTCAGAGCAGCCAATGAGAGCAGTTTTTGAAGTTAAGGCAGCATAAAGTGCAATCCCGTCAAAACTGTGCTGCTGTGGAAGAATGATTATTTGAAGACTTTTCTGATTTTTCCACAAGGTGTGCGATATATGGCTGGAAAGATAAGACAATGACCTACAATTTCCATATTTGTCCCGAATTTGCGGAGGAGGAAAGACCTCAAACGTGTGTGCAAAGTAACTAACGTGTTATCCTAGTCAAAGTAGGAAGAGGAGTCAATTACTTACCCATTTTGGAATTATTTTTTGATTAGGTTTTTCTTTATTTTTGGGCGGCTTTAAAAGCCCAGATAGGGTAGGAATACACATGTGGTGTTTTATTCAAGGATGAGAAACAACTCCTTTGGAGTTACGCAAAGACTTGGAGAGATTGGAGAAGCCGGAAGAGTACCACAATTGGTTAAGTTTTATTTTTTCTTCCTTATGTTTTTCCTTATGCCGAATTCTATGATTATGTATAACTAATTTTTTGTTACTCAGGCATGATGTAGCCCTAGTATGTTAATTTAGTTTACTTATTTTACATATCTATTGATTGCTGTTTGATGTTGGATTCTTAATCACTGTGCTTAATAACTTGGTTGATTATCTTGATGCTTAATCACCATCTAGACTTTTAATTGAGTTAATCAAATCAAATTAGAGTAAATACCATACTTAATTTGAGGCTTGCTTCTTGTGATTAGGATTTGTAATTCGTATAGGGTAAATACCATACTCCTAGGGTTTACATGCTTGTTGGAGGTTTTAACTGATCTTAATGAGTTTCTATGTGTTCATATTTGACCTAAATACCAAAGGCAAATTGCATGTAGGAATATACGAGTTAGCCTAAATACCATAGGTAATTCATGAAATAGGAAAACTAAGCTGCGACATCAAATGGTTGGTTAATAGGTAGGCAAATAAGAGGCTTGATCGGATTACTAGTGGGGAATTCATTGTCCTAGTGCTTTTGTCAATTTGAATTTCTCATCTTTGAGTTTCGTGACTTTCTACTTGTTTTGTTTTTTAATTTCATTGTTAATTAAATCATCATTTCAAAAACCCCTTTTGTGTTTACGTGAGTATGCTACGTGTTTAATTTCTTGTTTATATAATTAGAGTAGTTAAAGTATTTTGTGAAGTAAATTAGGTTAGACTAATTGGAAGTTGAACTCAATCCTCGTGGGAATGACCTCATATTTGCCATACTAAATTACAATTGACCTTGTGCACTTGTGAGTATAATTTGTGTTTAAAGTAATCTTTATAATATCCATTTTGCAGGTTGTCTAAAATTCACAACAAGTTTTTGGCATCGTTGTTGGGGATTGCCGTCGTCAACTACGATTTAGTTCAATCTTAATTTAGCTTTTCAGTTTTGTTTTCGTTTTTTTTTTAATTTTTTAATTTCATTTTTTATAATTAATTTCTGTTTTCTTAGTTTTATTTTATTTATTTCATTTTTTTAATTTACTGGAAAATTTCTTGGAATTGATTTGTGTTTCTTGTTTGTCTTGTTTATTAGGTTGGGCTTAGTGTATGACTAGTAAACGCTCTCAAGGTCAATACATTATACCGTTTAATCCTGATATTGAGAGAACAGTTATGAAACGAAAAGACAGATTCACTCACTCACTGGAACATTAAGAAGACGGAGGTTCCATTGAAAATATAAACGAGAAGAGTGACAAAAAAGTTAGGGAACAACAATTAGAGCAAGAGGAAGAAATGGAACAAGCACAACTTGCTCAAGCTCTAAAGGAGTACTCCATCCCAACTCTTTCCAACACTTCATCATGTATTGTATACCAGAAGTTGAAGCAAATTAATTTGAACTCAAGTAAAAAATGATTCACTTGTTACCATCTTTCTATGGCAAGTCGAACGAAGATCTTAACATGCATATTCAGGAATTTTTCGACATTTGTGACACCATCAAGATCCAAAATGTCTCTGATGAAGTGGTTAGGCTGAAATTGTTCTTGTTTTCATTCAAGGATAGAGCCGAATTTGGCTTCACTCATTGTCAGCTGAATCCATTAATTCATGGGAGGGATTAGCACAAAAATTTCTCCATAAATTCTTCCCTATGTAGAAAACGAATTAACTTAGAAGAGATATCATGCATTTTACTCAAGGAGAGTAAGAGCCATTCTATGAAGCTTGGGAGAGATTTAGAGAGTTGTTGCAAAAATGCCCTCATCATGGCATTATTGATTGGATGTAGATGCACTTCTTTTATGAAGGACTTATGACTGCAAACAAACGAATGGTTGACTCTCAAGAAGCATTTGATCAATTTGATTTGCTTGCCAATAATAATAAACAATGGGGCAGTGAGTGGACAAAGAAGGCATGAGTTCATGAAGTAGACACCAACACTGCGGTTGCTGCTCAAATTTCAAACCTTGATAAAAAACTTGAAACCGTTATGTGTGCTATTATTCCACCTTCACCACAGCAAGTTTGCACCATTTGTTCTGACCCTACTCATCCAATGGAACTTTGTCCATCTACTACGTAAGGTTCTGAGCAAGTTCTCCAAGTTAATTCATTTCAGCGACCTTGGAATGATCCATATTCGAACATCTATATTCCGAGGTGGCGTAACCACCCAAATTTTTCATGGAGCAACTAGCAACAATAAGCTAGTTCTTGCCATCCCTTCCAATAGCAAATGCAGCCTTCGAGTAAGCCTAAGAAACCAACGTTGGAGGAATTAATTGCTCAGTTTGTATAGACTTCTCAACAAAATCATAATACTATGCAAGTGTCCATCACTAAGTTAGAAACTCAAGTAGGCCAGCTCATAACTATTGTGCATGAGAGGGCGCAAGGCACATTCCCAAGCCAACTCGAAATTAATCCTCGAAATGTTGAGCATGTTAAGTCAATTAGAACTCTAAGA